GTCATTGTTCATCATTTATAGGGTAATATATGCTATTGCAAGAAGGCAATTTTGTACACCAACACTCCATGCCTGCTGCTGCACACATACTAGTCAATACATGCATGTATACATAACACACATAGGGGCACATCCTAGATTACCTTATAATTAGCTGTTCATCAGATATTACACCCTGTAAAACCAAAACAAAACCTCTACTAAAACTACAACACAGTATACCTTAAAAGAATCTTCTTCTCCACCAATCCAGCTTTCAATAGTGCTACCTTTTCTTCCTTATTTGGAACATAGTCATAAAAAACCCCAGATGAATACTAAAAGTGTAAGCCACAAACTACATTATATCCTTATCTCCAATATTAAAAACAAGAGTATTGCAAGTATGAAACAATACATGTATTAACGCTTGTTTTAAGCCCGAAATGTTTAATAAGATGGTCTCCAGGGGTCGAACCTGATGACAATCACTAGATGTAAATTGTCAGTACCAAACAAACTATATGTATGTTGATACCAATATAAAATAAGGAAAACTAAATAAATTAAAAGAAAAACTTAATATAATCCAAACTCACTCAGAAGTGAAAATATGACTGAATTATCTGCTAAAAAACAAAACTCACAAACAGAGTGAATTAAACTACATTGAATCTCCTGAAACCCCCCCTCCAGTTTAAATACACACAAAAAGTTCAAAATTATATTTAAAGAAAAAACACAAATGGATAATAATGAAAATGAATAATTGTGAATCAATGTTCACTTCAGTTCCATTAGATTAACTGTAGTGCATGCCTTCAGGTCCCTGATAAAGGGAAGTGCGCTTTACCTTTGGTACATGATATTACAATTAATGTTAAGACTTTAAATGTTATAAATGAAATAAATGTAACAATACCATCTCATTGTGAGCTCATTTTGTCATAAATACTGTATAGTCAATAATCAAAATTTGTTCATACATGTACATCAGTAACTCGTAAACACTAAGACTAAACTTAATTGATCTGCGCTTGCAAGGGCACAAAACCGATGGCCCCATTGACAGTGGCGGATCCAGAGGGGTTTTAGGGCTTCAATACCCTCTCTCCCCCCNCCCCCCCCCAACCTGGGAAATTTCTTTAAAAATCATGTGTTTTCACCATTTTCCTCAATTTTTCCCCACATGCATGTGTCGATTAACTTCTACCATTGGAAAGTAAAATGTGTGACACAGAATGGCCGTCGCCAAGTCGCAATACAGGGCCCTGCATGCGCGTTTTGATAATGAATCAGACATTAATTATGAGATAATTCCGGATATCCGTATCGTCCGTGTCCTAACATTAGTCACACCTTGGAACTNAAATATCACCCATGGCCACCGTACGCTACTGTACTCTGCTACCACAAATGCAGCTGGCCTCTGTTACAAATGGTTAGTTTCTTATACCAGGTCACTCAACCCACATACACGACATGTTATGGAGACGAGGACTGGCGAAGACCAAACAAACTGAAACAACGATGGTAGGAAATTCAAACATGATCAAATCAAAGTGGTAAGGAACAATTGCATGGCACAAGAAGCGTCCGAGATATAACTGTCACTTTCGTTTTAACAACCACGTGGAATCGAGCGGATCCAAGGGACCACGCTCGAGTACAGTTGTTACGGCAGCAGCGGATCATTGTCTATAGCGGATCACTCGGAAAACTTCATATGTTCACATTAAAATGAGCATAGCTAGACGGAAATTAAATGTACAAACTTGTCAATATAGTTTTATTCTTGTAAAATAAAAACTGAAGATTTAGTGTAATTAGTAAATCAACCGCAAAATCACGAAAACTTGACTCCAAAAGTACATCATTAGACTCCAAACGAGTACCGTATATTAAAACTATGATTTTTGTAAACAATCGGCGTGTCGAACACTCACTGAACTGACTAGGTGTGTAGAGCTGTGACGTCGCTAAATCCAGGGGTCTTCTCGGAATGTTCTCTCAGTAGTTTGACACTATAGCTGAACACCGATTAAATATTCAATACATTCAATCATATTAAAATTGTGAAAATTATTGCAAACTATGGTAAAAAAGAACATGCATAATATTGATAATTAATTCCTTGTGTTGGCTTAACAGAAATGTATTTTTTCCGGGGGGTGGGGGGATCTCAGTGCCCTCATATGGTTTAAGATGATCCACATGTACAAGTATAACTCTGGCTGTCCTTTCCCTCTGTATTTTATAGGTGAATGAACTGACCACCCCAACAACAAGATAAGGTCCGGTCCAACCTAAACCTAATTTCTGGTTCACCTTTGGAGGACACCACTGACACACACACATGCCTGGCTGACATAGCCCCTCCCTTTTCAATTGTCATGATACGTTTTCTGGGATGTAGCTGCTGTGCTAAGATGTTGATTAGCAAACTGAAAAGTTCTCTGCATGCTTTCTCTCAACCAGTCTCCATACTCTATTGGACAGGAGTGTTTTTTACCTGAAGGATTCCCAACCATTAAACCTAGGGGACAGTTGATCTCCCTGCCTAACATCATTAAATTAGGACTACATTTTGTACTCTCATGTTCATTGGCTCTATAAGCCATCATCATCTGCTTAAATAGTATCTGGATACTTTGTATACCCCTACCAAAGAGGTCCCCCTCCCCCCTGTATAAAAAGTACCCCTCTATGAAAACATTTAATGTTTCGATTATCTACCCCTACCATACCAAACCCCAACCCCGAGGACCAGGAAATTATGCCCCACACACACACACACACACAGATACTTTTGATACACCCGACCAAAATGTACCCCCGGATACTTTTTATACCCTTAAAAAAGCTACACCTGTAAACCACAGCTAGCCTAGCTAAAACTTTTACCTGTCAGCCACAGCCTAGGCTAGCTTAAATCTTTACCTGTAAGCTTAAGCCACAGCCTAGCTAAAATCTTTACCTGTAAACATGTACACAGTCTAGCTGAAATCTTTACCTGTAAACACAGCCTGGCTAAAATCTCTACCTGTAAACACAGCCTAGCTAAAATCTTTACCAGTAAAAACAGCCTAGCTAAAATCTTAACCTGTAAGCCACAGTTAAGCTAGAATGTTTTACTTGTAAGCAACAGTCTAACTAAAAAAGCTATACCTGTAAGACACAGCTTAGCTAAAATCTTGACCTAGGTATAGTATAGTGACAAGTTCTAGTGTCACTGTGTGATACAGGACCGACAGGTATAGTATAGTGATGAGTTATAGTGTGGTACAGGACTGACAGGTATAGTATAGTGACAAGTTCTAGAGTCACTGTGTGATACAGGACCGACAGGTATAGTATAGTGATGAGGTCTGGTGTGATACAGGACTGACAGGAATAGTATAGTGATGAAGTCTGGTGTGATACAGTACTGACAGGTATAGTATAGTGATGAAGTCTGGTGTGATACAGGACCGACATGTATAGTGTAGTGATGAGTTATAATGTAATACACAACTGACAGGTATAGTATAGTGACAAGTTCTAGTGTGATACAGGACTGACAGGTATAGTATAGAGATGAAGTCTGGTGTGATACAGGACCGACATGTATAGTGTAGTGATGAGTCATAATGTAATACACAACTGACAGGTATAGTATAGTGACAAGTTCTAGTGTGATACAGGACTGTCAGGTATAGTATAGTGATGAGGTCTGGTGTGATACAGGACTTATATGTATTGTATAGTGATAAGTTATAGTGTGATAAAGGACTAACAGGTATAGTATAATGATGAGGTCTGATGTGATACAGTAGCATCAAATATTAAAAAACATTTTTGAAAATCCACCTGTAAGTTCAACAGAAGAGGTTTTTTGAGTTTTTCACTTTTGCAACCTTTTCTTAAGCCCCCAGGATGGAAGGTCAGCCCCTTTCATTTATTAGTATAGAATCTGATCACCACCCCAGGCTAATGATTACAGCAGAGTTCATCAAAAGCCCTGTCAAGGGATCAGCCCCATCTTGAATATTTACTCTTATTTTTATCACCTAAGCATCATTTTATGATGTGTTGGTGAAAATCCACTTGTAAGCTACAGGAGAGAAGTCTTTTGAAAGTTTTGCATTATATTGCCACTCTAACTGCACAGCACAATGAATTGTCCTGGACCAACTGTGCTACAGATACATCCTAAAGAAAATTAAGGGGAGCTTACTGTAAATCCAAATAACAAAGTGTAGTGGAACATTCTTACCAAATTTGATTTGATTTATGCTCAGGGGGTTGCATTCGCAATGAGGGAGGGGTCAAAAAGGATTTACCATAGTAAGCAAATAGATAGGGTTATAAAACAACTACGGCTGAGAGGAAAGTCAAATCTAAATAAATCTTAAAATTTAACAGATAAGCTAGGTGATCATTTCAAATTTCTTTGACAGAATACTCAAATGAATTTTTCTGCTATGTATTTTTCATGTTTTTACTTTTCTTCATCCACATCAACATTATTATAATAATAATTTCATCTTTATCATCATTGTCATTTACGGTTATCGTCATATTGTTATAATCAATTACATTACTCAATATATCAAACGAAATGCATACACAAATTTAACATCCACATCCTAGAACTAACCACCACATTTATTATCACTAACCCCAATATCCCAAACATCACTGTTATACATACTTCAAACAGAGCCCCACCCCTATGCCCCTNGGGCGGGGGGGGGGGGGGGGGGGGGGGGGTCATAACCACCAATTATACAAAATTGAGACCTCTTGGCGTAAGGATGCTCCAGACTAAATAAGGATAAAATCCCTTAATCCTGATGGTTGAAGAAGGATTTTAAAGATTTTACCTCTATTTCTCCTATTGGGCTCCACCAGGGCCTTCTGCCCCCTGGGAGACCACACCCACTGCTTATACAAAATTGAGTCCCCTTGGCCCAAGGATGCTCAAGACTAAATTAGAATAAAATCCCTTAATCCCTATCATAGAAGAAGGATTTTAAAGGTTTTACCTCTAATTCCCCTATTGGGTCCTGCCCCTCTGCCCCTAGTGGGGCTCAATGACAAGCTATGCAGCCAACTTTCCATAGAGAGACGGGTCACAACTGCCTACCATTCCCAGACCAATGGCCTGACAGAGCCGCTTAATCAGACACTATGTCATGCCATTGTTAAGTATGATAACGGGACACAAGATGATTGGGACACATACTTGCAACAGATTGCATTCGCAACCAGGACATGCATACAAGCCTCAACCAAAGAAACTCCTTTTCATCTTACATATATATGGAGGAGAGGCAGTACTCCCAGTCCAATTGGACATACCTACAACTTTGTCTCCTGATTCTGATATCAATGCTGACGACTTCCAGGAGATTTTAAATGACAAAGCTGCATCTTTCGCAGAACTGTTGAACTTGCAGATCCTTGCTAAGGACAGGTTCAGAGAGGCACAAAAGAGACAGAAAACCCACTACGATAAACAGAACAAGGGAAAAGAGCATGTAGTTGGAGACAGTGTCTTAATCAGAAACAAGAAGAGAGTAAACAGGAAAGGGGACAAACTGGCATCAAAATGGGTTGGACCTTTCGTTATGTCTGCCTGCATCTGAAAAAGGGTGTATAAATTAAGTAGAGGGAAGAAAAACAAAGATAAACATCAAAGACATGAAGCTGTATAGACAAGACGAAGAGACAAAGACTGCAACAGGTGCAAAGAGAATGAAGAGAAATCACAGAAAAGTTTAGTCCGACAGAACAACTAAACAGAAACAAGCAACAAAGAAAACAAAGACAAGAAAAAGACTCAAAGTTCTGCCATCAGAGACAAAGAAAGAGAAAAGAAAGAGCAATGCTTTAAACAGAAAGACCACAGAACCGAAAACAAAATCCCATCTTCCAACACCTGTCAAAGGGATACCTGAGCATGTAAGGACAATGGAGAGCAGCACCAAGCTGAAGGTATTCCAGATATGCAGCAAAGCCTCGGTACAACGACCAAGCAATCCTACCAAGGATGCTGTTGCTAAGTCACCAATCCTTTCTATTATCATGGAGGCTGACCGGAGACTCGGGGAGGAGGTTGACCGGAGACTCGGGGAGGAGGCTGACCGGAGACTCGGGGAGGAGGTTGAGCTTTGCCAGAATGCTATGCTTTCTTGGTATATGACTGCAGATCTCAAGACGGAATTAGTCGACACACTTGATACATTCATGTTAACTTCACCACTCCTGACAACCTCATTCCATGACAACATTTTTATTGACGATATATGCTTAAGACTATACAAAATGTGCCTACCTCAACATTACCAGCTGACTCACCTTGCAAAGTTCTCAAAACTTCAACAAAAGTGACCATTGGAAACAACATTATAACGGAGGGACCTGTGTACACTTTATCCTGATAAGTGGCTGAATGATCAGGTAATTTTATAAACAAGCAATGAAAATCTAAGAAAATCATGATACATAGATAAGTATCAAATAGACAGGTATTGATATAAACAAAACATTTCAAGCATCAAATGTGATTTAATGATACCACCAACCCAACAAAATACTGGCTATTACAAGAGGAAATGATGTTGATAAAACTAAAATATAAGAACAAGCTCTACAAATTGGTGTAGGTTATAAACTGAAATTAAAAAAAGAAAAAATAGTTTCATCAAGTTCTTGCAGAATTTGCAAAGTGACTTGAAACAACTACTCTTTATCTACAGGAATGTTCATTATATTCATTGCTCCTATTTCAGGTTATCCACGCCTATATATAAGGACTTTTGAAGTCAGGTTTCAATTTCGTCCTCCACAAAGGATGCTATGTTCCTCCCTTTTTCCTAGCGACTAAGTGAGAAGCAGGGGAATACAATGCTTGGCTGTATCCAAAGGTGATTTTCTAACAAATTATTCATATCATTGAAGTCCAAAAAAACCTGGAACATCATATGTTTTTTTTAGGTTTAGATTTCAAAGATGAAGGGCAGTGTCAAGGATACAAATACCTCTGTGTATTTTTATACTTATACAAGTACTTGATAATTGTATGACAATTGGTCAAAATCTGTTTAGAAAAAAAAAAGTCAGAAAGAAATTGAAAGATTTTCTTAACTCAAACACAAATGTTTAGCCCTACCAATCAGCAAAACAGCCACCATGAATCGATAAAATTGATATCTTGTTTTATGATGCATTCTCATATTTGATTGACATAAAGTTTAATAAAAAATCTATTTAGAAAACAAGATTCTAAAACAACAACAGAAAATGTAACTTGTATATATATGAACTAACAAACAAAATGAACAACATTGCTTTGCAGAAATAGGACATACTCTTCACCATCTCATTGGCAGTATTGATAACTAGTTAATTTTCATGCAATGTTTCTCAAGAACAATGCTGATTGAATAAGAAATAAAACAATAACCAAAATGTCCTCCTTCAGGTGAATTGGGAGTCGTACCAGACTGTATTGTTGCCCGTTTGTCACCAGCACCACTGGTTTCTCCTGGTTGCCTCCATGGAGACTGCTACCATCTCTGTGCTCGACTCCCTTCCTCATGCAGGAAGAGCACAAAGATTCAGCTATCATTGGAGGTAAGAACTTTTGTTAATGTCTCCTTTACTGTTCTTAAAGGATATCACTATGCCCCCTCAACAGATCTAGAATTGGTCATCTTGCCTATTCTGCTTTTAAGATTTTAACATATTTTACCCCTGCGACCTTGAAAATGGATGAAGGTCATTTATTTGAACAAACTTGCTAGCCCTTTATCCCAGCATGTTACTGGCCAAATATAAGCACACTAGGCCTCTCAGTTATTCAAAAGAAGTCGTTTAAAGGTTTAAAACATATTTGACCCCTGTGCTCTTTAACATAAGTCAAGGTCATTTATTTGATTAAATTTGCTAGCCCTTTATCCCAGTGGGTTACTGGCCAAATATTCCATCTCCTCTGGGTGTTCAGATCTTGGGAACTGTTTTTCCATGACAGTTTCAAGATGTTTTGGGAGCTGACCTCCTGAGTCTCAACTAACCCAGTACCCTCAGTACCTGTAACCTTTGTTACCCTCCCTACAGTCTCAATCACAGACTTACTCAATCTTAACATCTTCCTTAGTGATGTTCACAACTGACAGTACCACTTTATCTGGGCTAGGTTCTGCTATACTTCTGGCTATCAATAACCCCTTTCCTCTCCACTCAGTTCTAGGCTCTACTAAAACCGTGGTTTCTGGTAAGTGACCGTCTGTTTTTTTGTCTAAACTTTTCCAAATAAGAAGGCATCATGATTTCCTCACAGGGTCTTAGAAGAGCCTAGTTTAAAGTTTTCTGCTTGTACAGTCTAAACTTTCCTTTACTTGTCACTAAAATGTCTCTCCCTAACTGCAGTACACCAACATATTTCCTGAGAAAATCCATCCCCATGCAGTATCCCAATCAGACTATCATCATTATGTATATCATAGGATAACCTATGGGTATTTTGGGTGTCCATAGAGTTAGTTGTACACTAAGTAAATATAGCAATATTATGTGTAGAAATTCAGTTTCAATTACTTGGTAAAATCTGTAATGTTATGTGAGTATTTGCTTTCAGATGGGATAACTGTTCATAAAACTCTTTCAAATAAAGTTTATGATAATAAAGTTAAATTTGCCGATATCTATTTCTATGTGATAAATGAAGGTGCAGTAAATTAGCAGCATGAGTTATATGATAGTAACTGAAATGTTCATTGTTGTTTTTAAATATAGATTTCCTTCAAGTGCTATTCACAGCTTGGTACCTCCAGAGAGGTATAAAACAGTTCTAGGAGTGCACCCCATCCACTCTAGCAAACCTTTACACCACAGTTGTAAAGTCATATCCTAAGTTATGGGCAGGTGAAGAGGAGCCCCAGTGTACATATTGTGGGTGACAACTGGGGACAGTAATGTCCCCAACCATGTGGTACCTCTGGAAAGGATGGCAAGAGGTAAGTATGATTAATACACAACACAACATATGTCAGAGTTCAAAAATTTATTGTACTAAAACCATTTACTTCATAATTATACCAATAATGAAATATGTTTCAAGCACACCTACATATCATGATTATAATGCATACTAAGTTTCAATGGTATAAGTCAACAAATGTAGGAGATATTAATGACAAGTGCAGTCAATGATTGTGAAACTCTCCGATGGCGGCCATTGCAAAATGCTTATACTACAATTTCAAAAACTTATTAAGATATTTATAATTTATGCCAAATTAATGCATTTGACAAAGAAACAGATGATATTTTTGTGAACTTGATTGAAATTCTAAAAGTTATATGAATATACTTAGTTTTGATGAACAATTAAATCCAAAATAACTGAAAATTCGGTAAAAAATATCTAAATATTTCTAACACTCAATTGCCATTTTATCACATGTAGACCTATAATGATTATAACATACACCAAATGAGAAGGGTATGGGATGTACATTTATGGACTCGGAAGCAATTAAACACTTTAAAAAAAGTTTTGTCCAAAACATGGCAAAAACTTTAAAAAAACAAAACAAAATATCTCCATATCATTTTGATGTAAGATCATTAGCTCACGGTAACTAATAACCGGTGAGTTAAGAACAAAAGGTTACAGCAGGCAGACAGGCAACACTTTACCATATAATACTGCGGTAAAATGTAACGGGCTTATAAAAATGCCAAAAATCGGACATGTCATGAATATGTTATGTGTTTTTTATATAACTATAGGGAGATTTCCAGCTGAATCTCCTTGGGGTTGGCTGAAGCCAAGCATCAAGAAATGTAAGGCAAACGACATTGGCTGGTGTGTTTGTGATAGTACTTCCACATTGATCCCATGTGATCGTTGTGGAATTAAGTCAAATCCAGAATGCTATGGTATTGCGAGGCAATTCTACACTGCGCAGGGGAAGAAAACCTACATCTGTTGTGGGGATGTTTCCACAATACTTAAGGTGGTGCAAGTATACACTCATTGTATGACATGTACATCATCTGTCTAACCAATCAAATAGAGCTCGGTTGTCTAATTAGTATTATGGTGTGAAAGTTTACATTTAAAATAAATTTCAAAGGCATGAGTTATTAGCTCACCTGCCCGAAGGGCAAGTGAGCTTATGTCGTCCGTCCGTCCCTCCGTCCTTCCGTCCGTCCGTCCGTCCGTCGTCCGTCTGTCCGTCGTCAACTTTTTGCTTTAAACAATTTCTTTTCGGTAACCAAAAGGCCTAGGAAGATGATATTTGGCCAGTAGCATGCTGGGATCAAGGGCTACCAAGTTTGTTCAAATGAATGACCTTGACCCACTTTCAAGGTCACTGGTGTCAGATGTCTTTGAAATCTTCAAACAACTTCTTCTGAATAACCAAATGGTCCAGGGTACTGATATTGGGCCAGTAGCATGCTAAGAACAAGGTCTACCAAGTTTGATGAAATAAATGACCTTGACCCACTTTCAAGGTCACAGGGGTCAAATATGTTAAAATATTTAAACAACTTCCTCTCAATAACCAAAAGGCCCAGGGTACTGATATTGGGCCTGTATCATGCTGGGATGAAGGGCTACCAAGTTTGTTCAAATGAATGACCTTGACCCACTTTCAAGGTCACTGGTGTCAGATGTCTTTAAAATCTTCAAACAACTTCTTCTCAATAACCAAATGGCCCAGGGTACTGATATTAGGCCTGTAGCATGCTGGGATGAAGGGCTACCAAGTTTCTTCAAATGAATGACCTTGACCAACTTTCAAGGTCACATGGGTCAAATATATTAAAAACTTCGAACAACTTCTTCTGAATAACCAAATGGTCCAGGGTACTGATAGTGGGCCAGTAGCATGCTAAGAACAAGGTCTACCAAGTTTGATGAAATAACTGACCTTGACCCACTTTCAAGGTCACTGGTGTCAGATGTCTTTAAAATCTTCAAACAACTTCTTCTCAATAACCAAAAGGCCCAGTGTACTGATATTAGGCCTGTAGCATGCTGGGATGAAGGGCTACCAAGTTTCTTCAAATGAATGACCTTGACCAACTTTCAAGGTCACATGGGTCAAATATATTAAAAACTTCGAACAACTTCTTCTGAATAACCAAATGGTCCAGGGTACTGATGTTGGGCCAGTAGCATGCTAAGAACAAGGTCTACCAAGTTTGATGAAGTAAATGACCTTGACCCACTTTCAAGGTCACTGGTGTCAGATGTCTTTAAAATCTTCAAACAACTTCTTCTCAATAACCAAAAGGCCCAGGGTACTGATATTGGGCCTGTATCATGCTGGGATGAAGGACTACCATGTTAGTTCAAATGAATGACCTTGATGCACATTCAACCTAATGTCCTTGTTCGACAACAAGGTCAGAGGCGTCATATGTTTAAATCTTTTAATAGGTTCTTATGAAATCTTAAGATTACAAGTGTTAGATTAATAACAGGTGAGCGATGCAGGCCCATTGGGCCTCTTGTATCATGTGAGCCAGTGAGTGGATGGGTGGGCGCGCATGATGTCTGAATATAATCTGTTGAAAACTACTTGAGACACCCATCCACTCACCGGCTCACATGATTATATTCAAACTTACCATGGGAATTCGGCCAAGTTTGATAACCACCATTATCCGATTGTAATTGACAGAGTTATGCCCCTTCGGTTGCTGAAACAGTCTCTGCTCGATATCTCAGTAATTTTCAACAGAATAATTTCAAACTTCATTGGAAGGTACTACAAAAGCTCAGAGGAGTTAGATAACCTTCTTCATCTGACCGTAATTAATGGAGTTATGCCCCTTCGTTCAAATTCTGAAACAGTGTCTGCTCGATATATCGTCTTGTTTTAAGCACAATTTTAACAAAGCGTAAATTTGTAGAATAGAGTCCTTCAATAAGTTACTGAGGTTAATAGTACTTAACACATTCTATATTATTTATTATTCCAGGAATGTATTGCGAGGCGAGTACCAGTCCATAACAGTACCAATGAGTGATGAATGGCCTTGTTACAATTGTTGGAGGAGGACATTTAATTTGCCACAGTTATTTACTAACATTGTACGAATGAATTTGGTCTTGTTTTAGGATTTTGTACTATTTCATATTAAAAAAAGATACTTTTACATTTTTAGGATCATAGGTTGTTTCTTCTTTTTCTTTCCCTTTTTTTTTTTAGAAAAGTAAGACATGCATTTTCTCTTTAAATTTTGAAAAAAATATTTTTTTATTGAAATATGTTGAACCAATATTTCTTAATTCAATATTTCACTATATTTGACATGAACAGAAAATTCAATTGCAAATCATATTTGAGCTTTAAAGAATCTCGAACGTCTGTTCATATCATCACTGTTTGGTGGTAGATGAATGCTGTCTATGTATGCCACTGTGCTTGCCTGCCTGCAAGATTGACAAATAAACATTTATATTTTTCACCAAAAAATCTGTTTTCTTGCATTTCATAGGGCACAAAGTTAAGATTGCTTTGTCCAGCGATTGATCCGATAGGTTTTCTAAATGTGCTGAGTAGTGGGGATGTTTATTTAAGAAAATGGACAGATCGGAGGGTCACTTTATAGAGTACAGATCAATTAATGACAGCCTTATACTGTCAGTCGCTTGAAAATTAATCTTTTATGAAAATAAAGTGATTTATCGATCATAGGTTGCAAAATGAAGTTGACAAATACTGATAACTGCTATATGTTTGTGTGTATTCTATGAAATTTGTAGGTTTTATTTGTGAATACTTCTGTTTTCCTGAGAGGAAGCTATTCCAATATTTACAGCAATAATGGAATTGATAATTGCTGAAGATTTAAATTTGCGAGCTAGTCCTCTAGGGAGTTAATGTGAAAATTAATATTTCACAAAAATAAAGTGGTTTACAGATCATAGGTTGTAAAATGAAATCGAGTAACATCTCAGTGATTTTTCTATTTCTATGGTGACTTTGACGGGTACTTTTGGAGACGGTATTCTTACAGTTCTAACTGGTTGGATTTTTGTAACCTGTTATAAAACATTATGAAAGTTTTGGGAGATAAAGGTCTACCAACTGTGGATTCCCATGCAAACAGTGTTTTAAAATGCACGTGCAATGTATGGGTGTTAAATTTCGGGGAGATGTAAATCACTGCATGTTAAACAAATACACTTATTTTTTGGCAAAAAATGACGAAATAATACCAGAGTGTCAACACCAACATAGCTGGAAATCAATAAAAACAGGGCAAAATATGAACAAAGGAAAGATTTACATAAGGACCCCGGAAAAAAGGTAAAGCCTTATCCTCCAGTGCGGTTAATAGGGTTTTAATCTTACTTGGTATGCAACATAATTGGGAGTACTGGGATTAAATGTTATAATGACGAAGAATGATGTCTCCCTCCAGCAGCAAGGACCTGATAGGGAAAAATAAAGATAAAATGTTTAGAATCATACTCCTTCGGTCCCATCACAAGTACTAGCCTCGTCTAGATACAATGTATGGCAATACAATTTTAAAATATTACAGGTGTATTAACAGACGAGGCTAGTACGTGTGGTTCCATCGTCAATTATAGGTTGATATAACGTACCAAGTATTGGGAGACACCGCCGGGAAGAGAAGGGAGACAGGAAAGATAAAAAACGGAAAAGATTCAAAGTGTTGCAATAGGTGCAGCAGATAAACATAAGTCTCTTCAATGTCCTCTTAGTAGAAACATTATAGAAGAAAGCCCTCGATTCTGCAGCCCCCATCATTAGTTGCCTCTTTATATTACGACACATGAGCACTGGTACTTAGATACAGCAAGCAGGTCCATGCTTATAGTCTCCTCAATGCCCCATTAAGGGAAGCTACTCCCGTCAGAGGTCAGATAGTTAAGTGGAAGATTCATA